TTTTTTTTTTTTTTTAGTGCTGGGATTGGAACTGGGGCCTTGTGTGTTCTAGCCAGCATTCTACCTCTGAGTTGCAGCTGCAGTTCCATATGACTATTTGTATAAAATGTACAGAACAAAAAAAGTCCAAGGGACAGAAAGCAAATTAGTGGTTTCCAGGGTCTGGGAAGAAGAGAAATGGGAAATGACTGCCAATGACACAGAACTTCTTTTTCAAGGTGATGATGGGAGGATATTCTAAAGTTGGTTGTGGTGATGATTTTACAACTTTTCAGACAAACAGAAAATCACTAAATTGTATACTTTAAATGCTTTATATTTCAAACCAGGCATGGTGGCACATGCCTGTAGTCCCAGCACTTGGGAGGCAGAGGCAGGCAGATCTCTGTGAGTTCAAGGCCATCCTGGTCTACATAGTGAATTCCAGGCCAGCTGGGGCTACAGGGAGACCCTGTCTAAAAAAGACCAAAAATAAAAAAATAATAAAAAATAAAAACGATATTTCAATAGAACTGTTACTAAAATTTGTAGAGTCTGGAGTGATGGCACAGCAGTTAAGAGCATGTACGACTCTTGCAGAGGATCTGGCTTCAGTTCCTAGCACCCACATTGGGTGGCTTACAATCAACCTGTAATACCAACTTCAGGGGATCCAAAGCCTTCTTCTTGCCTCCCCAGGCATCCACATTCAAGTAACGTACATAAAGTCATACAGACATACATACATAAATAAAAATATTTAAAATTTTGTGTAGGAACTAGAGAGATGCCTCAGCTATTAAGAGCACTTGCTCCTCTTGCAGAGTACCTGAGTTCAGTTCCCAGCACCTACAAAGTGGCTCACAACCATCTGTAACTCCTGTTCCAGGAGATCCAACATCCTCTTCTGACTTCTGTGGGCATGCACATACATGGTGAACCTATATACATGCAGGCAAAACATTCATACACATAAAAAAAATAAAAATATTTAAAACAAGCCGGGCTTGGTAGCGCACGCCTTTAATCCCAGCACTTGGGAGGCAGAAGCAGGCAGATATCTGTGAGTTCAAGGCCAGCCTGGTCTACACAGTGAGTTCAGGTCAGCTGGGACTGCGGGGAGACCCTGTCTCAAAAAGACAAAAAAAATATTTAAAACAAAAAATATAAGTGCAAGTTATGTTAGGTTAGAATTTAAAAGCTGGCCTTGGTGGTGCATACCTTTTAATTCCAGCACTCAGGAGGCAGAGGAAGATGGATCCCTGTGAGATTGAGGCCAGCCTGGTCTATATATCGAGGTCCAGGCCAGCAGGGGCTATAGGGAGACCCTGTCTCAAAAAAACAAAAAACAAAAACAAGTTTAAAAAAAACCTAGACTAGAATTTAAATTTTTTCCAGTTGTGATCCTTTATCATCTGAGACATTTTTATTAATTCTTTGAGAATTTCATACATTCTATTTTGGTCATATTAAGACTCCCTCCCCATGTACTGTTAGATCTGCTCCCAACTCTCTACCCACTCACTTCATGTCCTCTATTATTTTTAAGGCCTATCAAGTTTGTGCCCCTAGATGCTTGAGTGTGGTCCATCCACAGAGCTTAGTCAATCTATCTGACATTATACCCTTAAAGAAAACTCTCACGCTTCTCCCCATCTTTCTCTCTCTCTCTCTTTCTTTCTCTCTCTCGGTCTGAAGAGATGGTTCAGTGGTTAAAAGCATTGGTTACTCTTGCAGAGGACCCAGGTTCGTTTCCCAGCATCCACATGGTGGCTAACACTGTCCAACTCCAGTTCCAGGAGATCTGATACCCTCTTCTGACCTCTGTAGGCATTGCATGACACAGGTGCACTGATATACATGCAAACAATACATTCATACACATAAATTAAAATAAAATATTAAAAAAAGAAAACTGACTCTGTCTCTGTCTCTCTCTGTCTCTCTGTCTCTCTGTCTCTCTCTGTCTCTCTCTCTGTCTCTCTCTCTGTCTCTCTCTCTGTCTCTCTCTCTCTGTCTCTCTCTCTCTCTCTCTCTCTCTCTCTCTCTCTCTCAGCAGCTATCACTTGCCAATAGTTCCTCAGCTGGGGCTGGGGCTTATTACCCACCTTCCCATCCATGATGGGAGTTTTTTCTGGCATGGGCTTGTGCAGGTCTTGTGAATGCTGTCACAAACCTTGTGGGTTCATATGTGCTATTGGCCTGTTGTGTTCAGAAAACACAGTTTCCTTGTATTCATTCACCACCTCTAGCTCTTAAAATAGTTTCACCTCCTCTTCCTCAGTGATCTCTGAGCCTTGGGAGAAGAGGGTGTTATATGGGTCCTCGTGTGGGCTTGAGCACCCCACAATCTCCTATTTTCTGCATGTTGACTGGTTGTAGATTTCTGTGTTCATTGCCATCTGTTGCAAGAAACTTGTTTGGTAAGAGTCAAGAGATGCACTAATCTGTGTCTCTAGTCCACATGGGGTGACTGGAGAGTTCCCTGGTAGGCAGCTGGCTGGGTTCTGGTAAATCCCAAAGAGAGGGTCATCCAAGACCCCAGCTATAGAGGGATATAAAATAGATACACAAGTAAAACATTTGCTGATAATGAATCATGAAGCACTTTTTGAGACAGGGTCTCATATGGTCCAGGCCAACCTCCAATTCAATATATAGCTAAAAATGACCTTGAACTCCTGATCCTCCTATCTCTACCTCCCAAGTGCTGGAATTACAGGTACACACCATCTTGACCAGCTCAAGCAATTATTTTAGGGGCCTGGGGATATAGTTGAGCTTTAGAGAGTGCTGGTCTAGCAGCAGAGAGACCCTGAGTTCAATCCCCAGCACCATATAAACTGCATGTGGTAGCACAGGCCTGTTATCCCAGTCTTCATTTTTCCATAATTAAACCATTATGTTTTTATAACAGCAGAAAACTTTGTATGTACAGTAAAAATAAACAGACTTCAATTCCAAACACATAGTCGTCTTGGATCTAAGCCGAAGTGTTTCAGGCAGTGTTCACTGGTATTTCATGGCATGCTGGCTTGTGCAATGTGCATGTTGTGTTCAGAGTGGAGGCTGCAGTACAAGCCGACTGATACAGTGTAGGCAACCCTGCCAGAAGCACCTCAGATTTAACAGGAGTTTGATTTGAACTAATTTGAAACTATTGTGTGTTTAGAAACTTCTCTGTTGGCAAATTTTTTGTGACACTGTTTCAGTTATCTCACAGGATGCACAGTTTGCAAAGCCTACTTCTGGGCTAAGTGGCAATGAAGGCATGATAGGGAAAAATGTAACATTTTATTGCGTTCGGGTATTTTGTTGTTTTGAGATAGGGTCTCACTTTGTAGGCTAGGTTGTTCTAGAACTCACTGGGTAGCCCGTGCTGACTTCAAACTCATGGCCATCCTCCTACCTGAGTCTTGGGTTTATAAGTAGGGATGAGATACCATGCCCAGTTAAGAGAATGTCCTTAGTCCTAGGAAATGTGTGCTTTGGTTTTAAAACTAAAGTGCCATGTTGGCCAGAGTTGATTTTTCAAGCACTTCAACGATGCACAAAACATGGATAAAACCAAAGTAGCACAGTATTAACAACTGATGAACCTATTGGACAGCCTATGGGTATCCATAATATTATTCCTCAAGTTCCTCCAGTAAGTTTGAAACGTCCCCCATGTGTTTTATTTCTACTCACTTCCT